TGAGCTTCACTACTGTGGCGGCGGTAGTTGCTCCTGCTGCTGCTACGAGGAGTGCGGCGACGAAAAGGTGGCAGTGGTAGGCATGGTCGGCAACACTCTTGCAGCGACAAAGAAGCAAGTGTTAGGACTAAGTTCTCTAGGTTAGGACTAGGTAACTCATAAAATCTAGGAAGGCGAAGAAAAACCTAAGTCAATACCGATCGAAGCTGAGCCTAATGTAGTGTATCCCTGAGAGTATGATGCTGGATAGGACGCCGGAGCTACACCTGCAAGAAAGGTGAGGTTTGAGTCAGAAAAGCGTAATAAGGAAATTTAAGGAGTGAAACGCGCAAGGGACACAACTTGAGCAATAAATAACAAAGGAATACCTAGAGTCGCTGGCTAGAAGATCTGGTAGAGGTGTGCAGCAAGGCTGACCTATGACTGCCTGATCTGCTCAATGTTTTGAGCATTGGCCGCCACAGATGTACTTTTTTCGCCGGCTAGAAAATTGATGGATGCAACTGTATCCATCTAGCCAAAAGACAACTGTAGCAAATTTACTCTCAATGAACTAATCCATATAGCTAAAATGCCCAGATAAACCCCACATATTCATGTCGAATGTATATCAAAACAGAGGAAAGGTACCTCTGATTCAAATGTTATAGCATCTTCCTGTTTGGTAAAACGTTCCTGCTGGCTAAGGTTGTCAAGATAATCAAGGGTCTCCAGACCTTCTATCCTCACTTCACTGGAATCAAGGTGGAAAGTATCAACATATGCATAATATGGTAAAATTTCTAGTAATGTCAGGAAAACAGAATGCTTATTTGTTCTTCTGAAACAATAAACAATGTCATTTCCATAATAATCAGTTAACAAGTATTCAGATAAATGGTTGGACCAAAATTATACTCCTAGAAACGCTTAAAATACAAACCATCTAATTATCCCATAGTAGTAATGAACATGTCCAAATGCCTACCCCAGCATCTAATAACCAACCTTCTTAAGCCACAATGAAGATCTAATTTCAGCCTGATAAAGTACCAAAATTACAATATTAGCTTCAGGAACCAACCATGTGGGACACCAATTACGAGTACAACCTAATTGTGATGCACAAGAACATATCAATCCAATGGATTAACCATCACTCAATGAACTGAAACTAAATGGAACATTAATACTGAAAAAACAAAAATACTGAAACACTGACAATCAAAAAACAAAAAAAAAAAAACTGAACAAAACAACAACTTCTAAAACTGCTATGGACTACCTTCCCCTTGATACCGCAAAGGACATGACACATTCATTTAGACTGGCCTGCTACAGGAATAAGTGGAGGAGACACCAGTCCTGCTCATTTAGAAGAATATGATAGCATTAATGAACAGAAACATGTATTAGGAGAGATTTTTTGTCTTGAAAAGATACATATCAAGTCTACTATACCAAGCCTGAAGGACAACAATTGATGTCTGCTTACCTGTACTTGACCTCATTGACACACGGAGGTCTGTTCCATATGGCATTCAGCAAGTGTTGTATAATACTTAAGTTGGAGAGCAAAATATTCAGAAAGACAGCTCATGGGAAAATGGCACAACAATGAACTCAAGTTGGGAACAAAATGCTAGTGCTACGAATGATTCTGGTGACTGGGGAGGCTGGGGTAGTGGAGTTGGAGCTGCTGCAAAGCCAGCAGATCAAGATAATTCATGGGAAGTGCATGCTAAGGTGCCGGACAATTTCACTGATTGGGGAGGCTGGAGTAGTGGAGGTGGAGCGGCTGCAAAGCCAGCAGATCAAGATAATTCATAGTAAGTGCATGCTAAGGTGCAGGACAATTCCACTGATTAGGGAGTTCATCATTTCCTAAGTTACATAAATTATTTCACACAGAACCACAGAACAGTAGTGACATGCTTAAGTAAGTTGCATCATAATAAGAGCACTTAGTTACAGCCCAAATTAGCATATCTAATTTTTCTCAAAGACAGAGTAGCTAGGGCTCAGAAACTAAAGATCTTATATGATATAGCGTAGGACAAGATTAACTGACGGTAGCCGGGGCTCAAGTTGCATACATACTTATCCCATGGACAAGGTTAACTGACAGACCCAAGTCCTCGATACCCTACTGTATTGCAACAAATTCTAAAAATAAACTGCACAGTTCAATAAGAGCCAAACCTGATCCAATCTGAACAAACATTCAAGTCCTAACTCTTAGCATCAATCGGAGCACAAAAACAAGCTCAGATACAGGTGTCAGCTTAGCTAATATATTGAATTAAAAAAAGTCATGTTCTTCTATAATTAGCAATGCAAAAATCACAGAGGTCTATTGAACTGAGCTAATAGAAAAGAAACTATTGGTCATTCCAGATCCATTAGAGAGCAGTATGTCAAAAGCACAAGAACTACATATATTTCACCTGGAGCAAAAGAACAAGAGCAAAAGAACTCGAGAAATGGCTCAGATTTATCCATTATCAGCATGACAACTGCAACTTAATTTCACCTGGAACTTAATTTAATTCTCTCTCTAATGGGAATTGAACTGGCCACAGAACTGGTTGCTTTGGACTGGTACAAGCCATCCTAGTTAAGCAGCAAATAGAACAAAATATCCCAAGTACCAGCTCATAAGGTGCTAAAGTGCAGAAGTTCTCTAATGGAAACTTGATTCATCACAGCCACTCAAGAGTAGTACAAAACAAAAAAAGTCACAAGGCATAGTTAGGGAAGGGGAGAGCAGCGCGGCACGAGGCTGGGGTTTCATATCATCTCAGCTCCGCAAATATCACATATCAAAGATATATGTTCAAGAAATATTTGATGCACTACTAATCGTGAATTATGTGAGTACAGAAAATTCACATCAGACTGACATCAATCCAAGGTATGGAAAATTCAGATATAAGCATTTTCTCTACAAAGTTAGGCGATCCAGCCCAAAGAAAGAATGAAATATGATGCTTGATTCATAGCGATCATTTGCACGAGAGAAAGGAAAAAAAATAAAGCAATTAAGACCTCACATCATCGCAGATCGAGTCATCTAAATAAAAAGTTGGACAACTTCTCAACAAACCGATCGCACCTTTATCAAGTAGTTACTAGAAAATTTTCATAGCTCTATCATTGCCCAAGACTACTTATAGACAATCCTAGATTAGTTAATTTTGTGTTCCATCTCTAGCAAGTTTAGTCATTTTTCACTTTAGGTGTTCAATAGACAAAAATATATCACACATACTGAGATAGCTAGCAGCTTGGCATACATCGATTAAAAGTTAATATCAATCAAGCATAATCTTGTTTACAAGAGCAAGTGATTGCAACGATTCCGAACAAAAATGTTTTGATTTATGGGTATTGGACGAGTGTATTTCTTACTTCTTACCTGAGCATCTCCAGTTCAAATATATTCTACAAAGCTTAGAGAATGCAAATAGATAGGACACCATCAGCTAAAGCAAGAGCAGAAAACAATATCCACAGTTCTAGTAAAGAAAATCAACAACTAGGAAATCGACAGTCGTCCGTTCGTTGGAGTCAAGAACAGCTTCCCAGGACGGCAGGAGCCAACATCCTGCATGGCTCATCAATAACAGCCTGCAACCACGCCCCGTCGCTGGCCACCACCACCACCACCGTAGCCACCGGCCGGATCCGGGAGAGGGAGGGCCGGATCCGGCCGGGTGAAGAAGGGGAGGGAGGCGCTGCCGAGAAGAAGAAGGGGGGGGGGGGGCGCCGACGGGGAGAAGAAGGGGAGGAGGGCCGCCGCCACCACCCACGCCCGCCAGCCACCACCACCACCACCACTGCAGCCCACCCGCCGATCCGGGAGATGGAGGCCAGATCCGGCCGGGTGAAGATGGGGAGGGAGGGCACCCACGGGAAGAAGAAGGGAGAGGGAGGGGCGCCATGGGGAGAAGAAGGGGGAGGGAGGGCCCGCCACCACCACGCCCGTCACCACCACCACCACCACCACCACCACCATGACCACCGGTCGGATCCGGGAGGGGAGGGCCGGATCCGGCCGGGTGAAGAAGGGGAGGAGGGAGCCCCACACGGGAAAAAAGAAAGGGGAGGGCGGGCGCCATGGGGGGAGGGGCGCCTGGGCCAGAGCCCAAGGGAAGAAGGGAGAGGAGGGGTGCTGGGGTCGAGAGGGGAGGGTGCTGGGAAAGAGAAGGGCAGGGTGCTCGGAGCGGCGCAGGGGGTGGCCGCTGCGAGACCTAGGAGCGACGGGAGTGCGGGCGTGGTCTCGGGCAGGTGTGGGCGGCGCGGGGGATGGGCGACCACGTCTGGAGATAGGTTTAGGTTTTTTTTGCGTGTATATAGTTTTTCTGTGCGTGTATATCGTTTTTCTGTGAGTTTTGAAAAGACCGACAGAATAATGTTAATTTTTCTGTGTGTATTGACACGCACAGAAAAATTCTATAGGTTTTAGAATATTTCTGTCGGGATTTTTGAAACGCACAGAAAAATTACGAATTTTTCTGTGTACAGAGAAACACGCACAGAAAAATTTATCACCCACAGAAGTATTCGAGTTTCCAGTAGTGTTTGCCCTTTTTCTTGTCTCCAGTTTGTATCGTTCTCTTCCTGTTTTAGTCGTTATGTGAGAGTTTTCTTTTTCTATAATGAAAAATGTGCTCAGCATGTTATCCAGATTTCTCGAGGAAAAAAAACACTCAGTCCTTAATTACTTGCTTATCGTAGCTAGAGGCATGTGGCCATTTGGGTGGCAACAGGCGAATTTCACTCATGAATTAGGTGACATTTGCTTTGATTCAATCACTTTGTATTGGCAGACATCCTTCTCTTCTGACTCGAGAGCACACTCCAATTGCTCTATTTGACCACATGTTTCACTAGTAATGGAAAGTGACCACTACACCAAAGCATGCACTACACATGATGGATCAGCAATGTAAAATTCACAACAGCTACTCTACTATGGCTTTCTTTGGGGGGGCTAGAATTATCTATGCAGGTCTGAGTTATATGCTAGCTGGACTGTTCTCCAACTTGCGCTTTTTCCTGCAAGACAAACATAATATACCTTACATGTTAGAACATAGTAGAAAGAAATACACAACTAGCTGGAACGAAGAGCAAGGATTTCTAGCCTAGTCAGGACACCCACCTTCTCTGAAAATGGTTTTGCATCGGCTTAACAATATCGCCATTGTGCTTGCTACCTTTCTCTCCCTCCTCTTGATGATCATGCTCAAGTGAACCATTTGTTGGACAGCCTGGAGACTGAGCACGGGGGAGGACACAACAGATAGCAAGATGTCAGTTCGATATAACTCATGTAACACCAATTATGCTTTTTTATGTGTCCCACTATTTTTATCCAGATGGAGTGGATGGAAAGTGAGGGTTAGACATGTTTCAGGCTGAATTTGACAGACATCAGAAGCATATTGATGGTAACTAACAGAAAGGATTTGAAGCTTACAGTTCTCGTGTTTTGATGGCAAGATAAATCTTTGCCTGCGGCCGGTCTTCTCACTTCCTCATGGGTCTGAAGAATCGAGTTGTCAGCAACTGGACAAATTTTACAGAGCTGGAAGAACAGATTAACTGGATCAGGTAAGTAGAAGCTTTAATGTGACCAGGCATGTGCAAAGGGTTTACTAACATTTAAGCACTAAGCAAGGTAGTCACTAGTCAGCATCTCTAATGTGCATCACACGCTAAATTTGGATTACCTGCTTGATAATTCGGTCTATCACCTCATTCAGAGTAAAAAGTACATAGGATCTCGGCCCAAGGATTGTCAGGCAGTACTTCTCAAAGTTGGAACTGTTAGTAAAGCCCGTTATTAGGTTAAAGAGCTCCTCCTTAAATCTACAGCAATCGACGGAAAAAGAAAAGTGAAGTTAGAACCAACTGTTACATTACAAGTCATGAATAATTATGCTCAGATGCATACGGTAATAATCCTGGACATTACCCTGCATATAAATCACAGGTGTGTGAACCTCTCTTGGAAGCTTCCGCCGAAAGATTCTTTGCTACTAATAGCCTCTCATACAAAATCTGTCACACAGGAAAAATTAATAAATTGTAGTGCCAACAATTACAAAGGTTGGACAGTTTTGTCCAACACAATCTTTATTCCTTCATAACATAGACACTAGTATTGGCATTGAGCTTGCCAACACAAATAAAATCATGGTCCATTTAACAAGGTAAATGCTGAAATACCTGGTGAAGCCTTAAGAGCACAACCAGAGAACAACAAGGTATGCTGCCTTTCACATCATACAGTTCAGCTGTTCTTTTGGAATATGCTGATTTGCCCATTTCAATGTTGTAGCCTTCTCTTGATTCATAGTGCACTTCAGATTTATTACTGTGGTCACAATTACTATGGCCTGGGCACTGAGAACTCAACCCAGCCCCATTGGGAGCAGCAACATCACAACTTGCTGCTACGTTCCCATGTCCAAGCATGGATCCAAACTGGATGTTTCCTACATCAGGTATGAACTCACCATCCTCAATCTCAGTCTGACAAGCGTCAAGTATAGAAGCAGACTTATTGGACGTATTTAGAAGATATCCACCTCTCTGAAATGAAAAGTAACAGAAACCAAGTTATCTTTACTCCACAAGCGCAGTGAAGTGTCCCTGTGGGGTAAAAATTAGTTCTGCGTGTTTGAATTCAAATGAATCTGAAAGAACATAGTATTATATATACATGCGCATACCTTTGAAGATAAAGAATAATTATTAGCAAGTGATGAGTCAGGGATACTCCTGAGAAAAGTTTTGCTGAGACCACAATGTTCACAAGCTTCTTTTGGAGCTACAGTACCATTCGATTCTTGTAATTGATAACTAATAGAAACAAATGGCTGAACTAATGTTGTCCAAATCATCATCAGCTTCTGTTCAGAAGGACAACTTTTGCATGCATAACGAACCATCCTGTCTATGTCCTTGTGGATATGAAGATTAATATCTTTAAATACATTTTCCGAGATCAAAGTTGATTGATTGTTGCAAGCAGAAAGATGTTTATCCCCATTGTTCAGTCTTGCCATGTTGATTTCTCTAGCTTCAGCAAGCAACGCTGCAATTGAAATGCAGATGAGAACATTGAATATTAAAAATATTTAAAACTTTGATGACTCAATGCAACTCAGATTCAGCATAACGTAATACTAATCATATGTATCTTGTTGAGTTGGACATTGACAATACCTTTTGGGCTCATCCTCCTTTTGTCCAATTGTTTGAAGGAAGAGCTGCGATGATCAAGTGATCTGTAGTAATTATTGGCAATAATATTTGAGCATGTTTTATTCAAAGATGACTGTGCCTCTTTCAAATCTTCTATCTTCTGGTTTAAACGAGACTGTAGAATAACAAGAGCCATACTGGTATCAATTTTCTCCGACAGAGCATCAAGCATGTCGAGGCCATGTTCATCATATAATTGTTCAATGCATCTCCTATGTAAGGCTTTGCACAGAACAAAAACAAAGGAAAAGAAACAACAGTTAGTCAATTTGAAGAAAAAAACTTGACTCCAAATATTCTGCATGATATAACACTCTTACGAGTTAGATGCTCTTGAATTTTCATATCTTTGTCAACATAGTCTTGCAGATTTCTAATAAAGTCAGCAGTTGCTGTGTAGCGTTGCAAAAGCATGTCACTCTCAAACCTAATAAGAAAAATAACACCATTATGTAAAGAGGGGACATCATAAGACCATTGACCATTCACTATTCCGGTGAGCAAGCAAAATGCCACCTATATGAAATAGTTGATAAAAGACACACTGAAGCAGATGAACAATTGGTTACTTACATGTCATCTTCACATTTGAAAATATTTTCTTCATAATGATTTTTAGTTCTGAACATAAAGCAGTCCTCACTCCCTGAGGTAGAAGAAACCAACGTGTCGTTAAATATGAACTGTCCCAGCTCAGTGCGGTAGCTTGTTTTTAGAGTTAAACACTGCATTGAGAATGATCAAGTAAGAATTGGTTGTCAATGAGTTGAAATGGGGAGATGGGAATAGTATGAATTTATAGGAATTTACATTCTTCGGTAATAGGGAGTAGCTAGTAGAGTAGCGTGTGAACATATCCGGGTTCACTTTTGGGGGTAGTTCATTTTCTCTTGACGGACTCCAGCATGGTAAGGGATCAATCTTGTCTCCATCATTCTCTTCTGCATGAAGTGATTCTCCATTACCTATCAGAGATAAACAAACAGAGTTTCAATGCAATGGGTATGCTTATAAGTGAAAACTACACAAAGCATTAAGTTTCTAGTATAACATATGCTTCTATTGACACAGTAGAACATATATGTATGTATAACAGAACTGCCCCCACCTTCAGAAAACACATAAACAAACTTCTTGGAAATATTCATTGTGTGATATTAGCATGTCCTATTTATGTTTTTATTGGAAATTAGGGATACAAATCAAAATTTTAACACATGAGAAAACTGGCACACCTCTTGTAGATGTTTGCAAGAAGTCGGAGATCCACAGAGTACCTGTTGCTTCATTACCATCCAAGCTATGATTTGCGCTATGAATTTCATCTGGAGTAATGCATAAAACCTGCTGCGCAGGAAAATTTAGAAATTGATGTCATCCAAGCTCAGAAGAAAAGAAAAATGATACGATTTGTTAAGGAAAAAAAAGAGTTTTATGTTTCTGTTGGTTGGTGAACAACGCACCAATACATGATGAAAAACAAAGAATCTATGAGCCATGGGGTTTCCGCTAAGCCCCATGTGGTCTGGAACACATAGCAAATAGTGAGAGATGCAATGCATTACCTTGCTAATACTAATATTTGGACTTCTGCAAGGTTGCTCATTCGATAGAGGTGGACGCAAATAAGTTTCAAAGGTTTGAAATAATTCCGGACAGTGGCACATATATTTCTTTACCTACAAAGACAAATGGTTGTAAAATGATTGTCCAATTGTTCTCGACAAACCACCAAGAAAAACAAACACCTTTAGGTAAGTCTCTTGCTCATTGATCTTTTTTGTCATCGACTCAAACAAGGTGACCAAAAAATCTCCGTAATCGTCATTAGATATAGATGATGACGCCTGCAAACACAAAGTAAGCAAATTATGCATCAAGTAAAAACAGCCATGGACACCAAGCCATAATAATAACTCAAACAAGGAGCAGACGCATAACCTTCACCTTTCTCATGAAAGAGAGTGCACGATGTAAAGAAGGGTGGTCATCCTTGGAGGGATCACCCGATTCGACAAGGTGACGGAAGCCTTCTAGGACGCGAGTTTGGCCAACAAACACTTGAGATAGAATTTCTTCGCATTTTTGCACTGTGATTCCACCTTCAGGATTTGAACTGCAGCAGAAGAGAAGAACATATATAACCAGGAACAAAAAGGATGACTCGGAGAGTGCAGGTATACCATACGCCTATACCTATACCTTTGTTCAACAATCTCCCGTGCTGCCTTGACGAGCTCCTTGTAAGCATTCTCGCTCAGTTTGGCCTTAGCAAACATGACGAACCCCACAACCTCCTGGCCATGCCGCTCAAGCAGCCTATTGAGCCGTTCTTCACCACCGGCTTCCTCCATCGTCCTCAGGCAACCTACCGCTGCAGCAAATACGCAAATACCTGCGCTGCACAAAAATCCTGATTAACGCGGTAAGGTCGAGGAGCACTACACCCTTTATACCTTCCGTCCCCTATTTGCACCCCGTGGCGATCACGGGCGGACCCAGTAAATGACATAGGTGTACACATGTACACCCAATAATTTTTGCAAAGCAATCGAACTTAGTAGGCATATACATACACCTGTAATTAGGGTTTGGGCGCACGGTTTTACCTACGAATTACGTTAAGGTTTGGGCGCACGGCTTCGCACAGCAGGAAGGGAGGACCAAGGCGAGGGAATACCTGGTGTCCTGGTGGTGCTCGTCGCCGGCCAAGGTGGCGACTGGCGAAGTAGGACAACAGCGACGGTCGCGGGGGCGAGTGGCGAGTGGCTGCAGCGCGAGAACGCTGGGCCCCAGGTGGTGCTCGACCTAGCGTAGTCTCCTCTCCGGATTGCGGCGCCGCGAGCGGATGGAGGAGGCCGCGGGCGAGACGAGTTCAGGCGGCGGGCCAAACTTCGAGCAAGGTTAGAAAAAAGCGGCGGTATCTATACGGTGACCTCGCCCAGTGCGCACCTAAGACATTTCATATATATTTACATATATTATTATCTTAAATAAAAAAAATAAAAAATTGTGGACTTAAAGTTGTACAAAAAAAAAGATTAAAAAAGACAACATATCAGGTGCAAACTAACTAACCTGTGCAAATTTAAAAACTACCGATCAGAACAACTAGATGTTAATCCAATGGATGGGGTGAGGGGGCTTAAGCGCAAAAAAAAAAAGGTCGGCAGGTGGGGGGCTTAAGCGCAAAAAAATCTCACCTCTCACCTCATCCATTGGATCAGCATCTAGTGGTCCTGATCGGTAGTTTCCAAGTTTGTACAGGTTAGTTGGTTTGCACCTGATACGTTGCCTAAAAAGGCTCAGTCCACCGTATCTACTACATATTATCTTTCCCAACCTAAGTCACCACTCCATCCAACCTCGCCCGTTTCTGCCTCCACTTATCCACGCTTCTCGCTCGCCGATGCTGCCTCTATCTTCTCTAGACCACGCGCCATCGCTTATGCAACCTTGTGCCCATTGCCTCTACCTCGCCCTCCTCCCATCCTCCACCCGCTACCTCCCGTTGCGCCTAGGGATGGATCCAGAAAAATGTCTATGGGGACTTCTTCAACTTACATACAGCTTCAACCTCTCCTCAAGATGCATCCATGGCAAAAATTCCTAGGGGGCTAAGGGGGCTCCATGGGTCCCATAGCTGTAGGAGGGCTAGAGCCCCATCTGTCTCACCGCTGGATCCGTCACTAGTTGTACGCCTTCCTCCTCGACGCGCCTACGCCGCTAGCCTCCTCCTGGCGCGTTCATCACCTCCTCCGCCACCCATCGTCCCTCCCTCAAGTAGTGTAGCCCTGGATCTAGGGCACGCCGTCCATCTATCCCCTTGGCGACGTGATGCCCCTCCGCCTAGCACATAAGCGCGCCTAGACGAGCGTCTTGTATAACATTGGGGCGAGCTCAGCCGCAAAGGGAGAGGAAGGGAGAGGAGGAGGTCACCGCCCTCTGCAGATGGATCGAGAGTAAGAAGAACCGACAAAGGAGAGAAGAAAGAAAATAGAAAGGCTATATGCTGACAGATGAATCCACATGTCGAGTGTGTCGTTTCATGTTTTTGTTAACAAAACTTGAGGAGCATCGTATGTATCAAAGAAGTGATGTTCTAATAAAAAAATGTACGAGACAAAGAAAGAGCCAAACTTATCACTAGGGTAAGAGGCGACCATGGAAAAGCATAAAAGATTTAAAGATAGTATCATACACGACTAATTGAGATAAATAACATTAAATGGTAGTGCTAAAGATGCCGATGCATATTTGTAGAACTTTCTAGATAAATAATGAGCGTACATAAGATATATTTGTTATGTTTCATAGCAAAAACTTGGACACTATAGGTCTAGATATTATTATATGCTACAAATATCTAAGAAATAGATAAGTACTAGGAAAAAATATAGAATTTTTTTGTAATACCATAGTGGCCATGAGCGTGTCCATTGATGTCCATTGATGTGTTCCGTTCACATCCATAACAAGCCACCGTAAACAATAGTCATAAGATAGCCACTTTATTTATCTTACTTTTTAATATGACAAGATTGTCGTGTTTGTACTAGAATTATATACGAATATACATGAGTCCAAGTTGTTCAAAACTATTAATGGTGTCATATGTATTGTTATTAACATTTATTTATTAGACATAATCTTAAAAAAAAATAAAAAAAATCATGTACACCCAATGTTACGAAGATGTGTCCGCTATTGGTGGCGATCTAGTAGAATTCTAGTTCTAGGCGCGGGGACAGCTGCACGGGTTCAACGTGGTCAACCTGAAGAGAACACTAACCTACCTTATACTGTGGCGAGGCGAGGCTTGGAGATGGCGGAGAGCATGCAGAAGAGCGGGAGTGTCCTTCCTAGGGAAGGAATGCAAAGTCCAAAACCACCAGCATCGGTGGCACCGGTGATGGCGCGACGGTAGAGAAAGAGAGAGAGGAACTAGAAAGCGGACGAGTGAATCGTGCATTTAAGCGCACGAGTTCTATGGACGGGATCTAATTGATTCACCCGTAATAGAATTCAGATAGGCTAATTTAGATAGGATGCAAGCCGCACGGGCCTGCCTCGCAAAAAAGGTCCATTGGACAATTGCAAGTAGAATGATTTTTCTCAACTCCCAGTCAAAAATCAATCTAATTGTGCAGAAATATACACACATACTCCACATATCGACCATGAATCTGACGATGGAAGGGCATACGAATAATAAGAAATAAGGACATGATCCCCAAATATATAAGAGAGAAAGATAATATAAAAATAGTTTAAACAAATAAGAAATTATCTTTACTTTCAAATTATAAGATGTTTTGGCTTTTCTAGACATATTGTTATTTTAATACGCATTTAGACATGGTATATATTTAAATGCATAGCAAATATTATGAATAAAAAAAGTCAAAACGTCTTGATTTGGATAGAGGGAGTATTTTTATAAATTATAAGCGAGTTTTGTACCCAACAAATACGCTCCCAACTTTTTTAGCCACTTAGAAAACTCATTGGTTTACTAATTATTTTTTGAGCTATTGGGGAAGATGATCTTTAACAAGGGCGTAATGTTCATAATTTTTGCACTATATGCTCTTAGTGTTTGTTTGCTATAAAACTATAACTCCAGACAAACCAAATTCAACTATAGCTTCTCTGATGAAATAGTTTTTTTTCTGGCTTCGAACTTATTGGTTAGAAAAAAATATTTACAGAAATGGCTTCTCCTTGTTAGTCAAAGGAAAAGGTGAATGTCCATAATCTTCTTATTTCTTCTTCTTCTTCTCTACCTTATCCTCTTCCACACCATCACCACACGCCTCCTCTTCTCTTTATTTTTCCTCATCACGCGCCTCTACCACATGTGCCACCGTATCTTCGTGCTGCATCGTCATCTCCCCGACCAGTGTTGTGCCGTCATTCCTTCAACCCATGCCTTCATTGGCCTTGCCCCTCCCCACGCCATCTCCTTGCGTGCCACCATTGTCGGTCCGCCTCTTCCCACCCCTCATTGGCACGTGCCGCCATCACCCTACACCGCGTCGCCCTCACCCGTGTTGGGGCAAACTGGATGTCGGGCGTATGGTGGGCCCATAGGATTGAGAGGGACTCGAGCAAAGCTACTATTCTTAGCTTCTCCTCTATCTCCTCACTTCTCTCAACACGATTCTCGAAACTTCTTAAACGAAGGGGGTGTTTGGTTGCCACTCATGCGTAGAGCGCTACCAAATGCGTCCTTAATTTTTATGTAGCTTTAATAGCATCGTATGGTCTATATGCAATTTGAATTGCTGTATATATATAATTAAATGTGCGAAGTACCAAGTCAAGCAAAAAGCAGCTATACTAAACTTCTAGCAATCCGCATGGCCAAAATTTGTAGTCTAGCATTCAGTTCCCCCAATATCTTAATGACAACAAGCCATTTCGAGTCACAGCATGGCTTCCTCCAAAAACAAAACAGAGAAAAAGGATACCTCTAGCACTGTGGCAATTTGCAACCGTGCCGTGAGGCGTGGGTCAAAGACCAAGATTTAGACTGAGTTTGGTCTCCTATTCGATTTTGGTAGAACAAGAACAAATGATGGATCAGGGCTAGGGATACAAACTATTGTTGTGTTTGCAGGTTCCACAAGATAAACTAGTAAGATCTTCTTGTTTGATTATTTGTTTCGTAGTTTTACACTCGAAAGTATATATTTTTACATGCACGTCCCTTTCATGGATTTGTAGTACAATAGAATTAACGCCCGAGGTGCCTAAGAATCCAAATTCGGAAATTCATGCGGTTTCAAAAGCTATTTCTATAGAAACACTTGAAAACTCTATGAACTTGATATCTATTTGAAATTTGAATTCCCTTCCATTCGAATCCATCTCAAACCCCAGTTAGGGCCCAGCCCACCTCAGCTGCTAACGGCGCCGCCGTTCACCGGCTGCCATTTCTTCTCCCGTTCGCCCGCGCGCTCTCTCTCTCGTGGCGCTGGCGCAACTGGGCGACCGCCGCGGCCGCCGCCCTATGCCAGGTGCCTAGGCCTATCCTCTTCGGTCCGATCCCCTCGCCGGGTTTCGTCGGGCCCTTCGCCACCGGGACTGCCTCCGCGCCGTCCGGCCGCTGCCCTCTCCCACGGGCCACGGCCCCAACACGACTCCCTCCGCGCCGCCCTAAGCGCCGTCCGTCCGCGCCGCTCGGAGCACCATCCACCCTAAGCGACGCCTGGCCGCCGCCCTAAGCGCCGCCCGGAGCGCCGTCCGCCCTCCGCGCCGCTCGGAGCGGCGTCCGCCCTAAGCGACGCCCGGCCCACGGAGCGCCGTCCAACTGCCGCAGTCCGCCGCGACGGCCCCCATCCAAGCACTGGCGGAGGAACGCCCTCCAGGCCCAAGGTGAGGCACACGTCATTTCTGGGATCTTGGAGGAGTTGAATACAGGTTTCTTCTCAATATTTCTATGCTGCCATATGCAAGTTATAACCAGTAAATAGACGTAGGATGAGGAGACATGCTATTAGATGAAAGTTTCCCTTATTGCTTCGTGCTAATAATGTATGAACAATTATGGTTTGAAGTTTGGGACACAACAGCAGAGGATTTCTACCTTCAAATTGAGTTCATGAGATTTCCTCTTTGGCCAGCCTGTATTATTTTTTGTGCCTTCAAAATATACTCTATTTAGTGAGACTGTGCAGACATTAGATCCTTCAGTTTCATGATTAAATGTCCGTCCATTTTATTCAGCCTCCATGCAATTGTGCATATGTAGTGGCCAGGACTCATATGAGTTTCGGATTTTAGTAGGCCAATGTGATGTGATGGCTCTAAAATCTGGGTGCTGTCTAGAGCTCAAAAGAACCTATAAAACATAGAAACGTAGAGATGGTGGCAATTGCCCATTCAACAGCTAATTTTTAGGCTGAGACTCAGGAAGCACAGGCATCTGGTTCTATAGCATAATTTTTTTCTGCATTTTTGCAATTGGTACTGATGAGAAATCAACTTAACAGAGTCGAGATGGGAATATCATAGGCCGTGAGGATATCATAGTACTGATAAGAAAGCACAGGAGTACTGATAAGAAAGCACAGGAGTGGTGCCTGGAGGAGAGGGAGGTGGTCCGAGACGCTGCCGGGACGCTGTAGAGGAGAGTGGAGGTGGACTGCCGCCGTACACCATTGAGGAGATTGGTGTCCGAGAGCACCGTCAATCCACGATCAAAGCCCTTGCTTGCTTCATCCTTTTTGAGGTAAGACATTACTCTCGAGGTGTTTTTTTTTGACAACACTACTCTCGAGCTTTGCTTGCTTCATCCTGTGTACAACATTTTAAGTTTGCCTCTGTTTGTGCATTGCTGTGGTTGGCAAAAAAAATTCATGCATTGCTATGGTTCCCGTAATAATTGGTTCACATGTACCAAGCAAAACAACAGTTGGCATCAGCAAATTGTTCGCATCCATTTGCACAAGTTGCTGTCTCAAAAAATTGCTCATTTACTGTGTACTGTTGCAAAAATTTATGAGTTTCCATAATCTGGACTTTGTCTTCATGCTAATCACTTAGCACCAAATAATTACAATTTTGAGAAAATATTGTAAGTACAGAGAAAAAATCTAAGAGAAGAATGCTCATGTGCAAAGTTAGAACCATCGCGTTGAGTAGCTTCCAGGACCAAACCACATTCACCAATGCCTATTAGAAGAGTCCTAAGGTGAAGGTGGACTTCACCTCTGATATCCTTTGTGGAGAATGGCTCACGATATTAACACATTTAACTGTGCTGGAGTTAGATAGATAGCTAAAATTTGTTTGGGCTAAAGAGATGGCATCCTATTTTTATTCTTTGTATAGACAGTTTATAAGGTACAAATGTTGCAAACAGTAATACATACTTTGGGAGAAAGCTGTCTACAATACTGAAAAAAGCCTCCATGCAACTGAAATTTATTTTGGCCTACATGCAACTGAAAAAGTCTACATTTATTTTGGCCCTATGGTGAGTCGTACTCCTTGTGCGCCTTCGCTTTGTCGGGTTATAGGCTCGGGTGGTGGCTACTGGAGTGAGAGGGGATCTTGAGCGAGGGCGTGTTCGGTCTTCGGTTGGGTGGCATGAGGCCGTCGATCGAGCTTTTGGGGGAATTGGCAGTGAGTGAGGGCCACATCTGGAGCGTGGAGTGGCCTGGTTGATGGAGCTTATTGCGATATGGTGACAGGGCTGACGAATGTTTGGGTAGTTTGAGGCGTTTGGCAAACTCCCGTGCTGTTTGAAGTCACATTTGTATTGTATATAGAGGTACATCATTTATCTTCTTGCATCTTGCATGAATAGAGATAAGTAACTATGTATCACTATATAGGCTAGCTGCAGTACAGCCTCTGCAAGGGTTGTTCCTTTTTCTGGGAATTTGTTAACCTGAATGATGACAAAAAAACAGCATGTTCTTGTAAATTTCTACCTACAGAGTTGCATTTGGGGTCAAGTGATCCTGTGCTTTTGTGAAATCAAAGACAAAAATGATTTGTGAAACTAAAGAATATGAGAATAGAAGCCTCTCTGAATATAATAGTGCAATCTATTTGTTCCAGCCAATGCCTTTGCTACCAAACAATATTGACATGCTTGCATTTCATTTGCTTGAATTTCCCTGGCATCCTAATCAGTAGAGAATAGCTGTAAATGATTGTATATTAAATAGAGCAGCCTAGGACTGGATATGGGTGGTTGGTGTTTTGAGGATATCCCATTAGTCATCAGCACTATAGTTATTCTTGTTTTCTCCATACTGGATTTCATTTGAAGAGTATATACATTTACTTCAGCACAACAGTCATTTGAGTTGGCCTCCTACTGACCATTGACAGACACATCCTCTGTACTATTACCATCTCCAAATTTCAGCTGGCCAGTCATATGGGAGGTGTGCAGCCTCTGCCATCATGTAGCCAGCTGCACCTCCAAACCTCTGAAACTCCATAACTCCTCACAGTAAGAGAGCTGGTCAGTTAGCATGGTATCTGAGTTGAGAAACATACATTAGTCAAAAGAAGGACACCTCAAAGCCTGGAAGTTTTTCAGTGTGTGTTTCCTAGAAACAGTCATGTAGATTTACTGAAAGGTGCAGTGAATTTTTTGCGCTTTGTGCAGTGCAAGTGCGTCCTGATGCATATTTTGTTGCATTAATTTTTTGTCTTCCCTTGTAACGTACGAGTGAACAGTATTTGTTTATCTATTGATTTTGACCCACAATATTTTTCACTCTTATTGTGTTAGAAAATTTTGAGACCCCCGTGGCAACGCACGGGCATCTGCTAGTCTAACTACAAGTTTATATATGTATTATGCCCACTGACTTCGTTTTTTGTTTCGGCAAAAAAAGTTACTGGGTGAACATGGGTACACCAATGTCGCCATGGAATGGGCGGCTGCGCTCTCACCACGTGATCCCTCAAAGTTTGCCCAAGAGGAGGCTCCCTTCCCAGACCAAGAACCCGGATGAGAAAGAGGAGCTCCAAACATTGAAGAAGCCTCAAAGTTTGCCCAAGAGGAGGCTCCCTCCCCAGACCAAGAACCCAGAGGAGAAAGAGGAGCTCCAAACATCGAAGAAGCAGGCTGCCCCCAAGAAGATAACGAGAAGTCACCACGCTCGAGCTGCTGCACAGCAGCCGAGGGCGCCCTTACGCCAGTCGTCGCAGCTCGCTGGAAGAGACCCTGAGCATCCAATTGTGATAGACGATGATGTAAGCGGGGTAGGAGTTGCTCTTGCTTGACTTATGTTTTTTCTACTAGTACCATCCATTTCATTCCTGAATGTTTTCATGTTTGTTAGTTAGAAGCTTGATTTGTTTCATGCTTGATTCATAGATTATGAGAAATAGCATTTGTAATTTGAACTTCCTCTTGTAGGAACATAAAGCCAGGGCTGATCAATCAGCAATTACGCCTCTTCGCAGATCCCCACGATTCCATGTGGAAGATAAGAGTTTGGGCAAGTCACTGTTGCCACCAAATCGCCGGGAGACCTCTGCTAGCAGAAAGACTAAAACAGCTCATAGGAAAGACAAAAATCAAGAGAGCCTGAAAAGGAATAGGGGAAGTGCTGGATTTCCTCCTAGGAAAGATATTTCAGATGTATCTAACAAAAAGAGTGACAAGCAAGAGTTAAAGCCCAATCATTGTAAAGTTCAGACAGGAAAGAGGAAGAGAGGAACAGAAAGGAGGGTGTCATCGAAGAAGCAAAGTTGCCAGGACCCCGAACCATTGCCTGCGTATTGCCAAGAAATTGCACCTCGCAATGAACCCATAAAATCCACCCACAGAAGGATTGAAAAGGACCCTTCTATTGAGGTGAAGCTTAAAGTTGGTGATGAGAGGTTGACAAACATTGATGAAAACATCAACAAGCCAAGTGGGACTGAGAGAGAAGGAATGGGAAAATTTTGTGGTTCTGATGAATGGACAAAAGAGCAGGACATGGCATTGCGCAAAGCTTACTTCAGTGCCCGACCATCCCCACATTTCTGGAAGAAAGTTTCAAAAATGGTACCTAGTCTTTACATTATTAATGTTCTATGGAACTAAGTTTTTTGCTGATCAATTTGGTTCCTTTTCTTCTGGTATATACAAAGATTCTAATGCACTATTTTAGTAGAAACAATATCTCATACATCATTAAGTTTCAATAACAGTTCATTCTTTTTTTTCCATAGTGTACAGATTTGCTAATTCCGTTAACAAAAGGATATGATTAGACAGATTCAAATAATAAAACATCTTAGAAAAAAGATGAATAGCTGGTGGTCCCAATTCATCAAATTTACCATTAACTTTAAAAAAAATAATTGCACAAATGTAAAAACTTGGGGACTAGTGGGCTTGATCACACAATCAAAATAGCCTGAGGTTTCATAGTGCCATTTTGCTTTTCTTTTTCATACTTCACTGGAATATTTCAGTGGTAGGTCCTATTTCTTATCCGGCATATTTCTTCTTTTATGTGTGGATATCTTCCCTTGTCATTTATTAGCTCAGTGATTTTTGACACAACTCTTTTCAGGTGCCAGGGAGATCTGCTGAAGACTGCTTCAACAGAATATATTCTGACCTCTCAACACCGACTCCAATTGGCCCACGTCCCAGAACAAGTAAAACAGCATATTCTCCTATAGGAAATTTCACATTGTCTGATCCAAAACTTCCAAATATCTTGGAACCTACAGTCGGAAGGCGAAAGACTGCTAAACAGAAGAGTCTAGTAGCACAGAAGACAGTGAAGCATTTGTTGCAGAAGCATTGCCGCATTGACCAAGCTCAAGAGGCTGACCACTTCTCAATTTTTGAAAGCTCACCAAGTGCGTTACAATTGAACTTATCTTTTGAAGATTCTCCTGGGACTCCTGACAGTTGTATGAATTCAGCTTCTCTAGGAAAGATCAGTGGAAGTTCTTCAGCACGAAAGAAACCATTTTCAAGGTTAAGAACTAAGCCATCTGAACCGAGCCCAGCAGTCCTAAAGCCTATAAAGAATGTTATCTTACATGAGAAGTACATTGATCAATTGGCACGTAGAGAAGTCACAAAAAGGCCTCGCAGAAGGACTCCAGCAGGCTCTAAAGCTGCTGATTCTGGGAATTCTCTTTCTGAGCAGCAAGCTGGTAGTGTGAAGGCTGCTAAAAATGCTCTCATCTCAGAAGCAACTGACTTCATAAGCAGTTTTAAGACGCTGCAAGCCAATTCCCTTGCGCATGTTGTGGAGAATAGTGAAGACGAGATTGAATGTGATGCCAGTGATTGGAGCCATGATGATAAAGAATAAGGAGGTGCTTACAGTCTTGATTCCTAGCGACCCTTAGCAATCATTTCCTTTATGTCAACTGACGTTAGTCATCACTTATCAGTGCCTGATGCTGCAATAAGGCTAGGCAGTTGTCAGGGCGGTGTATTCTGCCTAATATGGTGTATCTAGTTTTGAACCTCTCAGTTGTGAAAGTGCTGCCCTCGTCATGCCTTATGAAGATTGAAATAATGAAATCACTGGAGATTACAATGGTCGAACCTGATTCTCTTGTGTTTGCATAGATCAGAAAGCTTCATTAAGCATAGTTTGTTCCACTTTTTTCTTGAACACAAAAGAGAACTGTGTATTGTTTTCATTAAAGAAGAAAAGGGAAAAAATGGTCTGTTCAATTCATAAGGCAGTTCATGTTACATTAGTGCAATGTGGATTAAAAATACTCACCATGTAAGATCCACATAGCTTTACCTTTTCTTTCCAGTTACCTTATGAACCCAGGTAAGATGTGTCTCAGAATTAGTCTGAGCTTACATTATGATGAACGGCATGGCACTGATACATTGCCATTGCTGGTGATCGGTGCACGAGGAACCATTCAACATTAATTCAGAAAACGCATATAGTTTGAGAAAGTGAAATGGCACTGTTTTACTTTATTGGTATATGGTATTCTGGCGAGTTGAAGTATTTATTATTTAGCTGGTTCTGGTTGGTCTCTTAAAATAATGCCCTGCACTACTTGTGACTTGTAAGATATACTATGTTCAATTTTTTTTCTTAGCTGCTTAGGATCCATTGTAGCAGCTGTTTTCTGGCTCTAATCTTACAGATTGAAGGTATGAGCTCTCATAACTGAGGCTTTCACATGGAAGGTATGAACACCTATTTTGTACAATTAAGTATACTTACATCTTATGTGGTCTTTTTAAGGGGCAACATGATTTTGTTGTGAAAGGAATCAGTATACTCTTTCCTTGAACCAGAATTAGTCTGGTGTAAGCAGTTATCAAAGTAATATATTCCATTTGAAGGCTTCATTACTACTTTATTTACTGCCTGTAGCGCTGTAATAATGTTACAAAATTGATGCATTATTTCCCTTGTTCAGGCAAGTAACATAATTCCATGTTCTACCCGCAACTGCTCTTGGGTCTGTTTTGTGTAGTTAGCTTCTGACACAAGTTTTAAGAGCCAATCCTTTGGGATCTTGTGCAATGCTGCTGTTAAAAATGAGGTATGGCGAAATTGGGCTTAAAAATGTTCAGCTGGTGCCTACAGTCCATTCTGTATTTTTCTTTCAGCAGGTATTAGAAGAAATTGTTCCTTCGTCATTTTACTTGAATTACTATTTCTGCCACTAAAAGAGTACTTCAGGAAGGCCCATCTGTAGCACTATACAGTATTTTTTTTCACTACTCTGTCTTATTCCTCTGGAGCTTAAGATTGGCGAACTGCTAAGTATGACACGAAATATAAGGCTGTTTTTAGTTTTCACATGCACTCAAGCCTCATGTGCCTGGCACTGTACTGCACATTTTTATGTTAGTAGCACAAAGAGCTAGACATTTTTGTGGAGCCCAGAACATACCTTTAAAACATGTACCTATGGGTCTGCCCCTGACTGAACTGTGTATTAAATCTTCGTTGCAATGTCAAGAATCTTAATAAACTATAAGAATCTTAACAGAAATATCACTCGAAAAAAGGCTCTCCATAAGTCAAAACTCAAGAGTCAACAGTAATACTCTTGACCATATTTTTCTTTTTTCTGATACTACCTCATTTACATACGCAAAATTTGGTTGAGACCATCGTTGGTTTGTGACTTTCTGTTGCCCCCGTGTTTTCTGAGTATTGGTGTTGGTCTCTGTCACAATTCTTCGTATATTAATCTCCGTTCTCATTTGCATCCTTGCTCTGACCAGATTGTTTCCTCTTCTCCTTGAGGAACTCAAGGAGATCCTGGAGTACAACATCACTGTTGTCGTTCCTCATCAGAACCTCAGCAACCTCCGCAGGTGAGACCATTACCTCCTGTAAAAGCTGCTCAATTTCTGGGTACATGACATGATTTTCAACTGAGTGGTAGTTCCTTGCCAGTATCCGGAACGACTCTGGGGTGCAGTACCCCATGTGGATGTGCATGTCCATCCTTCCAGGCCGCAGTAGCGCTGGGTCAAGCCGCTCCCTGTAGTTGGTGGTGAAGACGATGATCCTCTCCTCCCCGCTTGTCGACCACAGACCATCAACGGAGTTGAGCAGCCCAGATAGCGTCACCTGCAGTTCACCAAAATTCCCAGTAGGTAGCGTTGGTAAGAAGCTAAAGCTGCCCAATTGATTAATGCATGACACATACAACCTCTGTTCACAAACACTTGACATACTTGACTCTGCGTGGTTTTCGATGATTATCTTTGACCACTAATTTTCTTCTAGAATACTTCCTCTGTCCCAGGAAAGGAAATTTCTAGGTTTGGTTGGAGCCCCAGAAAATAGTATTAACTTGACTGAACGTTATTCTAAAATTGTATCCTTTCTGGACGGAGGTAGTATGTTCTTAAAACCCTTAAAATACATCATGCTTCTAAACTAAACAATGCGGTACTAGTCATTAATGTTTTGTAGTTTATAAGGTTTGACCAAATCTTATCCTAAACAACTAGTTTTTGTGACCGGAGCTAGTACTGTAAATAGTTTGTGGCTATATATATGATTCTAATTACTGGTGGATGGAGATGGAATAGTAACATTAGTAAGTAACATGATTCTAACCTTGTCGTCGTTTTCTTCTCCTGCAGACGCGGGGGGCCTGGTGGCACGCCTCTCGCCTTCATCCCGCTGTTGCAGCTCAATGCTGCAGTCAATGTCTTCAACCACAAGAATGGAGCGGTTGCTGGTCTTGACGAGCAGCCTCCGGAGGTCGGAGTTGGACTTTACCTCAGTGAGCTCAAGGTCGTAGATGTCAAACTTAAGGAAGTTGGCCATGGCGGCAACGAGGCTGGACTTGCCGGTCCCCGGCGGGCCGTAGAGCAGGTAGCCCCGCTTCCAGGCCCTGCCGATCCTCCTGTAGTAGTCCTTCCTCCTGACGAACCTCTGAAGGTCCTCGATGACGGAGCTCTTGAGCTTGTCGTCCATGGCGAGCGTGTCGAAGGTGGAAGGGTGGCGGAGGTCGACGGCGGTCCAGGCGTCGTACTCCACCATGTGCATCTTGAGGCTCCGCTGCCGGTCCTTGATGGCCTTGGCCGTGGCGACGACGTGCGGGAGGTAAGACCCCAGGGCCTTGTCCTTGTGCCTCCTGTGGAAGCTGACCTCGAACGACTTGGCCTCGGGGCGGCCGGCCTTGTCGCGGCGGGCGGCGGCGCCTGCGGCCCTGGATGCTGTGGCGTCGCGGGAGACGACGAGGGTCCAGGTGTAGTCGACGCCGTCGTGGGCGTCGACCATCCCCTCCCCCTGCTCCATCCCCACGGTGATGCCCTGCGCGTCGTCGACGCGGCTGGCACGGAGGCGTGGCACGTCGGGGGTGACCCGGGCGGCCAGGTACGTGCGCGCGGCGTCGTAGAGCTGGTTGGCCGACAGGCCCTCGGCCTCGTCGATGACCACGGTGTGCCGCGACGAGACGCGGGCGCGGACGCCCCGCGCCGCCGCGCGCAGCAGTTCCCCCACCTCGTAGGGCAGCAGCTCGCTCACCACGGTCCGCAGCAGCATGACCGCTGCTGTCGCCGACGCGGCTATCGTGATGTACCTCTCGTAGCTCCCGCTCCCGCTCCCGCTCCCGTCCGACGACATTGCTGGTTGTTTGCTGTGTGGAGGCGGCCGTGTATGGTTGGTTGGTTGGATTGATCCACACGACGCGAGGTGGCCGCCGGTGAAGCGTGCCTAGCTAGGGCAGCGATGGGTTTGACTGTTCAGACCTTTTCTTCAGGTACAAGAAGACGAATCGTAGTAGTATGGGTTATGGACATTGTATTGTATGGGCTTGTTTAGTTCCAAATTTTTTTCCCAAAAAGTGCTACAGTAGCTATCACATCGAATCTTACGATACGTGCATGGAACATTAAACGTAGACGAAAAAAACTAATTACACAGTTTGGTTGTAAATTACGAGACGAACATTTTAAGCCTAATTAATCCATGATTGAACATTAATGGCTAAATAAAAACTAAAATGCTATAATAACCAAATTCTTAAAATTCACCCAGCTAAACAAGGCCTACGTGTGTTTGTGTGTGGAAAGAACGAAAGAAAGAAAGGGAGATGCACGTGGACAAGCCGCCTAAGTTTGCGACAGTATAGCAGTCACGTCACGGGTGGGTTAACAATTGCGAAACAGTTTTGGAACTGAACGGGACACACGTGTCGGGTTAAGGACAAACAAACGGGCACTCAGAGGGTTCAGGAACGGTCCATGGGCCGTGCATCCAGATCCATCTCCATCCATGTAGGTGTGCGCATGCATGTCCATCCAGATCCTGCTAGGCCGCAGCAGCGCCGGGTCCAGCCGCTCTTGCTGACCACGTATAGAGGGTGTTTGGGACCGCTCTTATAAATTCATTCTTTCGTGCGTAGAACTGGAATTATTTGACTAAAAAACATTACGTGAAGCTAAAAAAACATAGAGTGGAGCAGTCCCAACTCCCAAACACCTCCTTAGGTCTACATTTCACCAATAAACATGGTTTATTTGTTTCAGACAGGGATATATACAACAAGTAGATTTAAAATATGCAATCTCATGGCCAATTTGACAGACTTCTGCTTCTAACTTTTTCGGAGCGGATAATATGAACCCGTATCAAATACTTAAAATACTAAAAGAATCCGCTCTCCAAAACTTGCCGTTCAATTGCCATAAAAAATTGATTCTCACCTACTCCCTATCGCTCCTTATTATATTCTCTCAACCAAATCACTCAATCAAGAAGTGAAGCTTAAGAATTAAGAAGATAAACTCTATCAAGCTGGCTTACTCTACTCTCCTACCAGAATCACTCTTTCAGATAATTGAGAAGTAAAACTTACG